AGATTTCGAGGGCGGATACCCTTAATGGAGAGTGCAAGTTGTTCCCCTGACTCATGTGGTATATTTAGAAATTACTGAATAAAATATGTTTCAAGGGACCACCTCTGAACAACCAGATATTTTTCAATTGGGGGAAAGGGAATTTGTGGCATGGACGGATGCTCAACTTATTCCAGGTTATAACCTATTTAGGGAGGCAACTAAGACAGTGGTTCAGCCATCGACTAATCTACACTGTCAAGTTGATGGTTTATGTAAGGAGACAGATTCAACCTCATGATTAGGATAGTTATGTTTTCAAGGAGAAACATACTGTGCTATTAGGTGCACAAAGACTGAGACACCAAATGTCCCCGTTGCATTTGGAAATGGAACGATGTTATATATGCTGGAGAGAGGGATTGAGTGCCATGAGTTTGAGTCATACTATTCAGATCTAATGAATATCGTCAGGTATCCAGAGAAGTGGCCTACATTTGCTATTCTATCAGTTAAGTTCAGGAAGTTGCACGATTGTCACTTTCGTTTTTTTATCTCTAATTTCTCGTTATCTTAATTTAAAAATAGACTGTTTGGTCCACTCTGCATGTTCTACAGGTTTTTTTTTTTTTTATAAGCAACTCTTTTACTAGTTGGATTACTATTTACGAAATATTTTTTAACTAATAGTTTGGTTTAGAAAAAAAATATTGTTACTTTATATGATGCTTGAAATGATATTTAATTTCTGGATGAAGAGGGACATATCTGTTAACATAGAACTCAATATCGGACATGAGATGAGATCAAAAGGACCAAACCAAGTTTTGGGTTTTAACTAATCAAGGCCCATATACGAATACAAAATTGAGGGGGTTACTTAAACCTAATTCTCGAGATGGTCTGGAAAGAACAGGCCTTAACTAAAAAGTAATAGCTAGCAAAGATCCGTGGTTACGTTTATAGAGCCTCTAAGCGATTTTTTTTTTAAAATTCTAGGTGACATGTTTAAAAACCAAATTATGATATAATTGCGAATAAAACTATGTTTAATCACAGCTTCTATTGTATTTTTTTTTTGTGATAATCAAACAAAAAAGAAAATACAATAGAAGCTGTGATTAAACATTAAATCAAAACAGTGGTCAATCATATGATGGTTTTTATATGATACCAGTTCAATCAAATTAGGATAGAATCACTGTCATCGTCATACCATCTACACCCAACAAGCTGATGAAGATAAACATTAAATCAAAACATTGGTCAATCATACTTAATTAATTCCTCAATAGCTAATATTTCAATTAATATTTTGACTATATGCAAATAGCTGGCAAAATTTCTTAAGCCTCTCTTAACTTATTTACCCTCAGACGTCATCATCTAACAAATCTTTTGACATCACACATTCTTTTCTATAATAATCCAAACACATCTTCCACTTTTATAAATATGTTATCAAATATTTCCCATTATTCAAAGATTTTATACAATATTCTTGTTTCATTAATCAATTAATTAACAAATATACATCCGAGAAATTCATATAATTAGTAGATTGCATGATATGTTCGTTCTTTCAACAAAACTAAGGCCTTTATAAAAAAAAAACAAAGGCCATGACGAAAGGAATCTAAACCATAATAATTTGATAAACAACAATTCCAAATTTTTTAGCAAGCATGAAGACATTCTTTTTGTAACTAAATAAGTACACAAAGAATTAGAGAAATCTAGTCAAACCTTATTGAATAATATTTTACGCATCATTTTCATCACTATATCATCATTTGTTTAACGTTTCTAATATACCTGATAGATATAGAAATATAATGTACTATTACGTTTGATAT